TGTGTGCGTCATACTATGAGTGGTGTTAGTTGATTGGAGATTTTTTTAAACATAATGTAAGAAAGATGATCAAAATGGTTTACATACAATGTAAGAAACATGATGAAAATGGTTTAAATAACTGATATGACACCCTATCAAAATGGTTTACACAATCTGTAAAACACCCGATCAAAATGGTCTAAATAATATGTAAGACGCCAGATCAAAATGGTTTAAAATAATGTATGACACAGGTTATCGCAGTCAGTACATAAAGATTAAACAGAACTATCAAGCAAAATAACTTTCTAATATAGTTATAATTTGTTTCTCTCTGTTAGAACTCACCTGCTGATGTTGATACCAACACATCACAGGTTATCGCAAACAGTACATAAGCTGGAAACTGGAATGTTAAAAAAGATAACCTTAAAACATAATGTTTTAAAAGGAATAAATCTGAATTAGAATAGATGTGAATTCGTTAGTATTTGTGCTTTTCAATTCTTATCTAAACTGACTAGGATGTGAAAGTATTCTCAAAACAGCCAATTCAGTAACTGGCTGATAAAAGTCGTACGATAGTAAAACTTATCTTAAATAGAATTACAATACAATATCCTATAATGAGAAAAAGATCAATTGGTACTCCCAACACACCACTCCATTAAAATTATAATATATTTCTGAAATACAATAAGGACATTCATAGTACTCACAATGTACCTTTCTATTACAATAAGCACTCACAGCATCCTTTCTCCCAACAAAATAAGACTATTCATACCACGCCACTCAAATAAAATGATACCACTCACAGTATTCAATAAATCCTTTTAATCACATAAAACCATTCATAATACTCGAAACGGACCTCCACATTACAATATCAACCTTTATAGTAATTACAATACACTTCTCCAATACAATAAAAGAACTCGTACTACTCACAACAAACATCTCTAACAAAATAAGACATTTATAGTACTTACAATTCATCTGTCAAATAAAATAAGAACACTTATAATACTTACAACACGTCTCTCAAAAAATAAGATTCCAAATTACACTCAAAACACCTCTCAAAGAAAATCAGACCATTCACATTACATCCCTTCAAAAAAATAAACCAATCATAATTCAAACTACACAACCAATAAAATCAGACCACTTACAGTACTATGAACACATTTATCCAATAACGTAGCAACACTCATAGTACGGGGGAACACATTCCTCCAATAAAATAAGGCCATTCATTGCACTTAAAGTGCATCTCTTCAAGAAAATAAGACCACTTATAGTACTTGCAAAGAACTTCTCCAAAAAATAAGACCACTCATAACACGCAAAACACATCTCTTCAACAAAATAAAACCATTTATAGTACTCACAATACACTTCTCCAATAAAATAAGACCACTTATAGTACTCACAATACACATATCCAATAAAATAAGACCACTCACAGTACTTACCACACATCTCTTCAACAAAATAAGACCACTTATAGTACTCACAATACACTTCTCTGAAACATAAGACCATTCATAGGACTCACAACACTCTTCTCCAATCAACTAACACCACTCATAGTATGACGCACGTTTGAACAACCTGTAAAACACCTGATCAAAATAGTTTAAACAATCTGTAAGAAACATGATGAAAATGGTTTAAATAATTGATATGACACCCTATCAAAATGGTTTACACAATCTGTAAAACACCCGATCAAAATGGTTTTTACTGCTAGCTAAATCTTTACGACAACCAACAAGTGCATAATAGAGTAAATATTATCCATCCGGTATACATTCATAAGTTAAAAATTTATATCGGATTTCTTACTTTGCAATTAAGTAGAAATCATGGCTAAAAGCAGCAAGCATATTACTGAAGCCTAGCTTTATCAGATATCATTAAAGAAAAGTAACCAGGCACAGAATGCGTTTGTCTAAGTAGCGTTTTACTCACATGTGTTAAATTTTAAAGTGAATTATTTCAGCTTTGTATCAACGTAGGACATTATAAACAGTGTGAATGAAAACTAGTAATAACAATAAAAAATATTAAGTTCTAGATTTTCCGCAAACAAAACCTAGAAGTGTAAAAATAACTTAACCAAATTGTAAGATACCCAATCAAAATGGTTTAAACAATCCATAAAACACCCAATCGAAATTGATGTATATTATGGCGAATGTAGAGTAAGAGAATACAATAGGGATTTTGATGTATATTATGGCGAATGTAGAGTAAGAGAATACAATAGGGATTTTGATGTATATTATGGCGAATTCAGAGTAAAAGAAAGAAAATCCCTATTGTATTCTCTTACTCTG